GATTCCGGTGTATCCTGGTGCCAGAAATGGGCACATTCCCACCTGGCAGGTTGAATCAGTCAGTCAGTGCAGGCCTGGCACAAGAGAGGGGGGTTGGGATTTAGGTTATTTTTTTATTAGGGGGTAAAGACCGTAATTAAAGGAGAAGGTCACGCTGATTAGTTGCAAGAGTGGGGATTTTAAATATAGACACAAGTTGAATTCCTTCCCCACCAAATGAAGAAAAATAAACCTTATGTATATATATATATAAAGTATATATTATATATGTATTTATATAAGCTATACTTAAAATATATCTAGTCCATGGGGAGGGTGGGGAGATCTGCAAGGAACTGCCCTGGTGCAGAAATTAGATATAATTAAAGCTCCCTCCTGGCTCCAAGAACCCAACCTCTGCTTTGTTTTCCTTGTTCTGCAGAGCGCAGAGGCCTCGGGCCCCAACCTGCCCATCCCAATTCCCGGGGCAGGGCTTGGCTGGGCTTTGGGAACTCGCCTGGTTGGCGTTTGGGCTTCGCTTTGGTGTAAACTGAGCTTTCCTCGGCCCCGGCACAAACCGCGGCGTAAGGGCGGACGTTGCTTTGTGGGGGAGATAAAGTCCCGTCCGGGGAGCTCCGGCCGCTGTCCCGCCCCCTGGAAAGGTGCCCTCCCTTCAGGAAAACAACTTTTTTTTCTTCCCCCGGCACGCTCAGGTGGCCTTTGGACTGCGGGTGGCACAAACGAGCCGGTGGTTGGTGCGTGGCTTTTCCCTTTGCTCCACCGATATCCTGCGAATCCCTCCATGGGGTACGGATCCTTAACGTGGTTTGAATCCCTGCTGGTGGTTTGTGTGGTGAAGGGAAGGAGTTGGCCCACAGAGAACAAGTTTGGAGCATTTAAACACCAACTTGGGCCAATTTGGAGCATTTAAACCCCACCTTTAATGGGCAGTGCTGGCAGGGGCTGTTGGGCTTCCCCTTCGGTCTGGGGGGGCTGGTTGTGCAAAGTGCAATTTCTATTCTTTAACAGAAGGGATATAAATGCCACAAACCATTCAGAGTGCCTGAGAAGTGTTGGGAATACAAGGCTGAGCTGCTGCAAAGTGCTGTTTAGGAGCTCGGCAAGTGTTTTTGGGGGAGCCTGAAACCACATTTTTAGGGTCATGGAGGTGTCAAGTGACCTGAGGATGAGCAGGGGCACCACCATTTTATCACTGCAAGGGGAGCCACAGCCCAGGCCATGTTCCTGTTAAACCCCTTTGTTGCCAGAGGAATTTCCAGGTTATTTGGGTGCCTGAAGCAGCAGATAATTGCCTAAGGGCTGCAATCCCTAAGGAGCAGCCAGAGGGTCAGGGCTGAGCCATGGGGCTGAGCTGGCAGGTGGTGGCTGGAGCTGCAGCTCCCATCCCGGACTCCAGGGACAGCTTTGTGCTCTCCTGGCGGGAACTGCAGCTGCTCAGAGGCCTCTTTACTCTCAGATTTGAGACAAAAAGGGATGCAAACCAAAAACCTTTGCAGCAGGTGGTGGCCTCAGCCCAGATGTTCAACTCTTACCCTTTCCTGATCTCTTTCCTGGCTGTCCCTGTGGTCCCAGCACTGAGCAGCCATCACCCACTGTGGGTTTTGGAGCCCTGCTGGGGGTTATGAACATCCACAGGAGCCTCCATGGCCTCTCCTGGGCCCTCTCCAGTTCCAGCTTGCACCGACATGTGGATGTCTGCCTTGGATTAGGTGGTGGTTTCAGATTTATTCGTGCCCATTTGAACCCTGGATATTTTTAAACCTGCCTAACAAGCCTTCCACTCCTGCCCTCTCCCGAAGGAAAGCTGCACCCTGAGCCCTCTCTGGCTCGTTCCCAGCTCCCCTGGGCTGTGCTCCAGGGGGTGGCATTTGCATGGACCTCGGGCCAGAGGGACTTTTGTGGGTTGTGAAAGGGAACCAGCAAGTAGAGACAGATGGCTGGGTTAGCAGGTGCTGCATTCCTGGCTGCACCTGGGCATGCTGAAAAGTGATTTTTTTTAATTGTTTTTAAAAGGAGAAATGCATCTGGAAAGGACAGAATGGGTCACAGTGGCTTCTGGTCCCCTGGAGCCATTGGAGCAGTGCTGGGAGCAGGGCTGGTTGGTCGGGAGAGGGACATGGTGTGGAAGGAGGATCTGTGCTCTGAGACTCGTGGTCTCTGGGGACTTTCTCAGCCTTTTCTCACCCACTGCAAGGGCTGGAATTTTCCATACCTGGCCCCAGCTGTGGCTGATGCCAGGAAGGGCCCCTCAAATCATCCCTTTTTGCCTTCCAAAGGGAATCAGCTTTGTCCAAGCATTACAGTTCAACAGCAAGTGCCTGGCAGGTGCTCCAGGGAGTCAGAGAGGAGGGTGATCACTCTGGGGAAGGCATTTGGTCAGAGCATCCCATAGGAACACGCTGCATCTGCCAGAGGAAGGTGATTTCAAGGCTGCTCTTACTCACTTGTGGCTTTACCAGAACAGCTGCCGGGATTCCGCCTTGGAAAATAAAACACTTCCTAATAAACAGTGATTCACGTTGCCTGGAGTTAAAATTAAGGTCCTGTTGGCTGCCCCTCTCCCACATGGGAATCCAGGGGCAGATCCCAGGGGTGCCATGAGTTTCTCCATCTCTTGCCCTGATCCTATTCCCTGCCTTCCACCAGATTTGCTCCTGTGCAGCCTCATCCTGCACACAGAGCTCTAGTTCTGCCTGCATTGCTCCTCTCCAGGTTTATTAGAATAAAATAGGTGGTTTGTCCCTTCCTTGCTTTCACTGGGAATTTTTTCCAGTGCCTGCAGAGCTCGCACAAGCCCTGGCCCCTCTCATCCTGCTCAGCTTCCATCTGAGCCTCCGTTTTCGTCAGCACAGGAGTCCCGGCCCCAGCCCCTTCCTGGCACTGGAAGGTGCTGGATGCAGCCCCAGTTCCCGGCACTGGCTCCGGAGCAGCAGCTCCTCAGGAAGGAACTGGGGTGGGGACAGCAGTGCTGGGGGACAGGTCCCCGCTCATCCAGGGACAGAGCACCCTGGCCTGGGGCTCCCGGACTGAATGCCATGACTTTGTCACTGCTGGAGCCTCCCCGGTCCCTGCGATCAGCCTGGGCCGGGCTGTGCCCCAGCGCTCCATCCACACTGGCTGCCAGAGGGATGGGGGGAGCCGGTGGATCCCTAGGGAGCACTGGAGGCTTCTCAGACCCCACTCCGAGGGGGTGGGAGCCCAGCTCGGGATGCAGCACATCCTTCCCCCCTCCTGCTCCGATGCCACGTTCGCAGCCCCCCAAGCGGGAGCCGGGGGTGGAGGGGGCCGGGGCTGTCCCCGTGGGAGCGCTCGGTCCTGGGGAAGGGAAGAGGGCAGTGGTAAAAATAACCCCTGGGCCAGCTCCAGCCCATTGTGGCTTCCTGCGATTTACAGCCCTTCCCGAGGGGAAGAGGCAGGAACCGGCCAGCTCGGGGCTGGATTTCACCCTTTCACCACCACTGGAGAAGGTGCCAGGAGGACCTTTCCTCCCTCTTTCTCCCTCGCCGTCCAGGGCAGGATCCTGGGGAGAGGACTGTGGTGGGCTCCTTCTCCTGAGCTGCCCCAGCATCTTGGGATGGGTGTAGGAGAAGCTGCCGGAGTGGACATGGTTTCCCTGTCCCATTCCTGACGCCCCGCGTGCGGGGGGGGGACAGAGAGACTCGGTGCTGCCTGGGAGGAGTCAGAGATCGCCGCAGATCCCGAAATCCCGGCCAGGTTCCCGTAAGGAGGTGGAAGGAGGAGGGGAGCTGGCAGAGGTGAGCTGGAGGTGCAGGAAGAGGAGGGTTAGTGCTGGGCAGGGGCAGGGCTGTGGAGGGGGGTCGCGCTGGCAGGGTGGGCGCAGGGTGGGCTCCTTCCGACGGGGGTTGGGCCGGCAGGGGTTAATAGGGTGGCTCTTCCTCTTCCTCATCCCCTATATGAGGCTCCTGCCGGGTGTGGGCTCAGTTTGCTGCGGGAGCCAGAGGGGCAGGAGCTGAGTGAGACCAGAACATCCCATCCCTGCATCCCATCCCTGCATCCCTGGGTGGGCTCAGGTGAGCAAGAGCATCCCCCCACCTGCCGATCCCAATGGTTGGCACAGGTCCTGGCCACGGGGCTGGGCTGGGGACTATGTGGGAACACTGGCATGGGCAGTCACAGCCTGGGCACACTGGCACTGCTGGGGGGTGACAAGACCCTCTGCTGGGGACACCTTCCCACAGCTGCTGGGGGAGCCTGGGGAGCTCATCCCTCGGGAGCACAGGGCCAGACACACCACGTGCCTCAGTTTCCCCAACTGTACAGCGGGGTGGATGTGACGTGGAGCCCGTGGGCTGTGTGTGGAGGAGCGTGGCAGGGGGTTCCTGGGCCCTTTGCTCCCGTGAACTCTACTCTGCCCAGCCCCGTGCCCCTGCTGTCACCCGGGAAGGCCCTGGGTCAGCTGGTGATGGCTCTTCAGGGCCATTCAGGCCTTTTGTGCTCATTGAAACCCTCTGCTTTGGGCATTTACAGCCTCAGACTCCTCCAGACTCCTTCCCCCAGCACCCACCTTCACCTCTGGATGCACACATGGGTGCTCGGGTGCAGCTGAGCAAGGCCTGGAGCACCCCAGGGCTAAGGAAACCCCCCTGGCTCTGTGCCCCCCAGACACCAAGCAGGGGAAACCTTCCCTGCCAGGGGAGCCCAAAACACCCCCCAGCCCCTGCCCTGCTGCCCCTACACGTGAGGCAGCTCGCCAGCTCTCCTGAGCAGGGCTTTGTTCTGCCGCCCCTGCTCTCGGAAAGGCGAGGCAGCGGCCGGCTCCGGTATTTTTTCCTGTTGGAAGCCGCTCCTGGGATGCGAGTGAAGCCGGCGGATGCTCGGCGCTTCTCTCTTCCTGCCCGTGGGCTGGTCCTGCCTGGGCTGGCAGGGCTCACTGCCTGCCTGGGACTGAGGGGACCCCCGGCTCTGCCTCACCCCCATCCTCCTCCTCACTGCTGCAGCCTCTGGGCTAACCCTGACTCTCCTCTCTCCTCCCAGGTGAAATCCAGGAGCCAAGCGAAGCTTCCAGAGCCTCCCCACCTGTGGCACCGAACCTCCCACAACCGCTCAGAGGGCAAACACAGCGACCAGGAGTGACATTTCGGGGCGATGGTGCCCTTGGGCAGCCCCACTCTCGCCGTCTGCGCCTCCAGCAACCTGCGCCTCGTGGCCCCCGGCCGTGGCTCCCCCCTGGCCTGGCTGAACCGGGGTTCCGAGTGCCCAGGGGAGCCGGGGGGCAGCGGGGGCCGGAGACCGAGCGCCGTGGAGCGGCTGGAGGCCGACAAGGCCAAATACGTCAAGTCCCAGCAGGTCATCAGCCGGCGGCAGGAGCCGGCGCTGCGGGGCTCGCCCCGGCTGTCCCCGCTCGGCCGGCGCCTCCTCGCCCGCCAGCAGTGCAATGAGCTGTGCCAGGGCTCGGAGCTGGGCCGGGAGGGGCCCAGGAAGCTGCCGTGCCCCCCGTCCCCCGTGTCGCGCCGCAGCGGCAGCAGGCGCCTGCTGAGACCCGACTCCCTCATCATCTACCGGCAGAAACGGGATTGCCTGGGCGGGGACAAGGAGAACGCCAAGGGCTCCGGGCTGGTGCGACGCCTCTTCCAGGGACCCCTCAGGGACAAGCCCCCCAGCTCCCCGCCAGCCAGGGGGCTGGGCGAGGGACCACCACCCCCGCAGAGTCCCGAGACCCCCATGCTGTGGGCGCCTGTGGAGAAGGAGGAGGCGAGGACACCGGGTGCCAGCAGCAGCAGCGGCAGCGGTGGCACCTTCCCCGTGCCCGGCAGTCCCCCGGCAGAGCCCCCGCAGCCCCCAGGGAAGCAGGCGCTGGCCCTGCGCGTGTCGCTGCCGCTCTCGGAGCAGGAGAGGTTCTTCAACTACTGCGGGCTGGACCGGGCGCTGGTGGAGCTGCTGGGGCGGGAGCGGTTCGGGCCGGCGGGCTGGGACAGCGCCTCGGCTCGGCTCCTCGGCTCCTGCGAGTCGGAGCCCGGGCGGGCCTCGGGGGGCAGCGAGGGGGGCGCGGGGCCGGGCGAGGAGGAGCCGGAGGATGCCCGGCTGGGCTCCGCCGTCTCGGTGGTGGAGCGCAACGCCCGTGTCATCAAGTGGCTCTACGGCTGCCAGAGGGCCTGGGCGGCCGCCAAGGAGTCCACGGTCTGAGCAGAGACGGCCCGGCCGGGATGAGGACCCCCACTGTGACTCCTGCTGGCTGGACATATCCCCTCACCCTTGCTGGATGTGGCATCCACCGTCCTGGTGTGCTGGGAATGCTGCAGGCTGGGAAGGCCACCCCGGACTACCCCGGACCCCAGGCTGAGTGTGGTGGGGGCACCTGAGGGGCAGGTGGGGAAGGGGCTCCCCTGGGTGAGTCTCTCCGTGGCCTCAGGGCTGGAGGGCTGCCGTCCTCCTGCTGTCCCCCATCTTCTCCATCCTCCCTGTCCCCCCAGCCCAGGGTGGTGGGATGGTCCTGCAGCCCCCACTGACCACCCACACCCTGCTCCAGCTGCAGGCTGGGGGTGTGGGCAGAGCCCAAGCCCCTCATGGCAGGCAGTGCACACACCACACCCCCTCCTCCCCAGAAGAGGGGCTGCTGGGGCCAGAACAGCGCTCAATAAAGCTGTTTTGGTTTTTTTTCTAGCCTGGCAGCGTGTGTGGTTTGTGTGGGTAGATGCTCTGGGGTGGGGGGAGAGAGGCAGTTCCCCCTGCCCACCCGTGGGGGTTGTGCTGCTCCAGGGGCAATGGGGCTGCTGTGGAGGGGATGAGGGCAAAGAAAGCACCGGGCAGAGCTTGGGAAAAAGGGCACCTCGGGGTATTTAGTGCAGACACGACGCCTAAACCCACAGCAGAGCCCTCGGGTGCAGGCAGGGGGCTGCAAGTACTGCTGGAGAGTCTGTCTGGTACATCCTCCTCTAGTTGCCCTTGGGGGCACTTTTATTCCGGATTTCGGCCAGTTTGCCGGCCAGGAAGCCCCAGTGGAAGGCCCCTTCCTCCGGCTCCCGCAGGTCGCTGCCATCCTCGCCCGGGGGCTCCCCGGGGCTCTCATCCGGCTCCGGGGGGGGCACCCCCTTGTCTGGCCCTGCCGCCTGCTGCCACTTGGTAGCAAAGAGATCCCAAAATCCGGGTGCCTTCTCAGACTGGGGCAGCTCGGGTGGCTCAGCAGCCAGTGGGCTGGGGAGAGAGTGAGGACAGGGGACATCGGTGTGGGGACCCTTCTCATCAGGTACCACAAGGGCCAGAACTGTGACCCCCAAGCCTCCCATGTCCCCCTCCATGCCGGCTCTCCCCCAGGGCATAGGGCAGGGGAAGGGGATGCAGGTGATGGGATGGGGGGATGAAGGGGCTGGGCAGTTCCAGGGGCTGGATCCGGGTTCTGGGGTCCCCCCCAGCCAATTTCCAACTTACTGGTCCGCGCAGGGCTCCGGGCTGAGCAGCTGGTGCTCGTCCTCGCGGGTGAAGAGGGACGAGAGCGTCCTCCAGCTCCGGGCACCCACCCCCTGCACCTGCGGGGGAGGCAGCACCGGGCTCACCGGGGACCCCTGGGTCCCAGCAACACCCCCCCACTTCCACCAGCCCCCTCCTCACCTTCCTCGCCAGCTGGGACACGGGGTTGGGCCCCTCCTCCATCAGCGCGGGGGTCTCGGCCGTCTCCATCAGCTCGGGGGGGTCCCCCTGCAACGAAGTCCCCGGGTGAGCGCAGGGGTGCGGGCAGGGGGAGGGCAGGGGGGTCGGTCACCCCACTTCGGGGGGTCCCGGGCTCAGTGGGGACCCCCCCACCCCACCTCGTCCTGCAGCGCCCCGTCCGCCCGGGGCCCCCCGAGGGTCTGCAGCACTTTGGCCTTATAGAGCCGCCAGAAGCCCTGGGCCATGGTGAGGGGCTCGGCGGGGCCGGAGCCGGCGGAGCCGCGGGCGGCGGGGCGGGGAGGGGGGGACCGAGTGGCGATCCGGTGGCTTCATTAAAGTTTCAGCGGCCACTTCCAATGCACGAAAGGAATCTGAGCCCGCGCTGAGCCGGGGGCAGCCCGGGGCCGCCTGATCCGGTCACCCCCAAACCCTCCCCTCCACCCCCGCGCCCCAGCCCCCCCCAGTGCCCCCCGCCCACAGGAGACCCCCAGGGCTGGGACATCCCCCTCCCACACGCAGAGCAGGCGCTGGGGCTCCGCGCTCCCCCCGCCGCGTGTCCCTATTTATAATTGATCACGGAGGAAACACGATCAGCGCCGGGAACGCGGCGCGCTGAGCCCTGCCCGGCTCATCACAGCGGTGACCGGGGCAGCGCGGGGCCCGCGGGGGGACACGGGGACAGTCCGGGGAGGTGGCACCGAGGGCTGGGGGGGTTTGGGGGACACGGCTCTGCCCGGGGACCGTCACCGGGCCCCGGGGGCTCGGGACCGGTCACGGCCAAGGCTGAGCCCGGGGAGGCGTGGCCGAGGGCGTGGCCTGGTGCTGATAGGCGTGGCTTACCGCATGGTGGGCGTGGTCTACGTAGTGGGTCAACTCTTGTGGGAGGGGCCTGTCGCTTAGTGGGCGGAGCGTTCCTGCCTGGAGGCGGGAACTGCACTTCGTGGGCGGAGCTTATGCATCGGGGCGGTGCCTGTGGCTTCATGGGCGTGGTCTGCCGCTTGGTGGGCGGTGCTTATCGGTTTGTGGGCGGGATCCACCGCCCCGTGGGCGGGGCGCAGAGCCGAGAGGGCGGGGCCCGCAGCCTCCCGCGCCTGCGCAGTGCGGGCCCGTCCCGGCGTGGTCCCCGCCATGTCCCCGCGGAACGGCCGCCGCACCGGCGCCCACCGGGCGCACTCGCTCGCCCGGCAGCTCAAGACGAAGCGGCGCCGCCGCGACCTGGACGAGATCCACGCGGACATGAAGCCCGAGAACGCGGCGCGGCTGCTGCGCCAGGAGGTCGACCCCGACCTGCCGGGCTGCGCCCAGTTCTACTGCCTGCACTGCGCGTGCGTGCGGGGGGGCACAGGGGCGATGAGAGGGGGGCTGGAACCCTGGGATGGGGGTGTGTGTCCTGGTCTTGGGGGTCCCACTCCTGTGGGAGGGGGTTGCCCTGGTTCTGGGGACTTCATGGCTCCTGGGGTCCGGGGGGGTCCCAGACCCGTGTAATGGCGTTGCTCTGGTTCTGGAGGGGTTCTTGGGATGCTCCTGGAGAGGGAGGGCGTGTTCTGGTCCCGGAGGGGGGTCTTGGCCCCTGGAATGGGGTTGCCCTGGTCCTGGGGGATCCATGGCTTCTGGGGTGGGCGGTGTCCTGCTCCCGGGGGGTTCTTGGCTTGGGAAATCTTGTCCCAGTCTCAGGGTGAACCCCAGCCCGTGGGGGACTGGTCCCAGGGTTGTGGGGGGACCCTGGCCCTTCAGTAGGGCTCTCCCCAGCCTTGTTCCCATCTCGGGGTCCCCTCTGACCCCCATCCTCTGATCCCCCCCAGGCGCTACTTCGTGGACCTCAACAGCATGAAGGAGCACTTCAGGTCCAAGGTGCACAAGAAGAGGTGAGGAGGGGCCCAGCCCCGCAGTCCCTCGGGGTGGTGGTGTCAGTTCTGGGCTGGTCCTGCCCTGAGGAGCTGGGTGGGAGCCTTCACCCCCTCCGTGCCTCCCCCAGGCTGAAGCAGCTGCGAGAGACTCCGTACACGCAGGAGGAGGCCGAGCGCGCCGCGGGGATGGGATCCTACATCCCCCCAAAGAAGGTGGAGGTGCAGACCCAGCCCCTGGAGGAGGCCACCGAGATGGAGACGTCCAGCTGAGCCCAGGGGACGAGGGACTGAGATCTGGCGGCTCTGTAAGGGCGTCTTTGTCCTCAGCATTGTGAGAAAAACACGTCCCAGCACAGCCTGCCAGGAAAAACCACCCTGCTCCTCCTGCAGCCCTGGGACTAATGAGGAGAAGGAGCCAAGGAGACCCTGGGTGCCCTCACTGTGTGTCCTCCTTCTCCAAGAAGGGACAAGCAGCTTGTCCTGGCAGGACTACACTCCTCTCGTTGCTTTTGGAGAGATTTTGGGTGTCTGTCCTTTGGCCAGAGGTTATTCCCGAGATTTACCCATTAAAATATGTCAACTAAGAGCCTGGAAGCATTGAGAGCTCTCTGGATATGAGGGGGACAGTCCCCCCAAGGGGTGTGGGGGCACCTTGGTGTTGTGCTCTCCCCCATCACCCAGAGGTGTCCGTGCCAGCCCGGAGGAACAGCCTCATCCCAGTGCTCCCGCCCGGGCAGGGTGGTGAAACCCCCTCTGCCCTCCTGGCAGAGGGTTCCCAGGCAGCTTTTTTGGGGGTAGGATGTGCTTGAGTGACCTCTTCAAGCATCAGCGAGCAGCTGGTTTGGGCCTTGAGAGGGGAGTGCTGGTGTCCCCTTGGCAGGGCCATTTTGAGGCTCCTGTCCCCAAAAACCAACTGGTGATTTCACGGTCCTGGAGGGCTGGGGCTGCACCATCACCCTCCCTGCCTGGTGTCTGCCAGACTGATGCTGCTGGTGACCCTGAGGGGACACTGTGTGACAATGCCACCACCCGCTGCCGCCGCCACGAATTCCTGCAGAGCGGCTGACCCCAATTCATCCCTCCTGCCGTGCTGGGGACTGGGAATGAGCTGGGCATGGGGGCTGACCCCAATTCATCCCTCCTGCCGTGCTGGG